GTATTTTTATGATAAGATACTTGTACTTTTACTCAAGTAAAAGTAATATTTATAGTAATATTTTTAGAGAAGACTTTAACTTTTACCAAAGTATTTTTATGATAAGATACTTGTACTTTTACTCAAGTATCACTTTGAGGTACTTTATACAACACTGGATGGAAGTTATGTGGGACACCTGTAAACGTTGCTTTTTCAGTGGGTAAACTGCACAGAGGTCTTCAAGCCTGTTCTCATGACAAAGCTGACAGAAATGAACGAGAGAATGTCATCAAATGTATTAAGCCTGTCAATCAGAGTAAAAGTTTAATCATGTGAATCAGGTGTGCTGAAACATGCAGGACAGTGGGTCACGAGGAACAGGGTTGAAGACCTCTGCTCTAAGGCTGCATTCACGCTGAAGGCAAAAGGTGACCTGAAGAGATTTTTATTTTATTTTTTTGCCCATGTAACTCATAACTGCTTTTCTTTTAGTATGACAGTCAGAACATTTTTTCAAATCGGACCCAAGATTTTTTTCTTATATTTGGTACTAAAATTTTATTCACTGCCTGGCCAGAAAAAAAGTCACCACCTGGATTTAACCAAGCAAATAGATACGAGCCTCGTATTGGATAATTACTGCATGTGCAATTCCCTCTGTACTCGCTCCAGTTCTTTAGAAAATGTAYTTTCCAGGTCCGACGGTAAGTATCCTGAGTTGCAATTTTCCTAAATCGATATTGTTTATCGTTGCTGCTTTTTTAAAATTATTGTAACAACAAAGTAGAGTTCGACGCTCCAGGTTGTAAACAGCATGAAGCTGTTGTGATGACGTGTGGAAATGGGTGTGACAGAAGCAGTAGGAGGATCTTAAAGAGACAGGCCAATTTCAGGGCGTTTAGAAACAGATATGATGCTTAATCAATTTTATTTTGATTTACACATATAAACAGCATTTTCATAACAACTGAAGGTGACAGTTACTTTATGGTACAGAACTGAACTATATAGGCCTGAGAAATGCATAATATTTGCCCTTTTAAGATGACACAAAACAGCAACTGTGTAGTTAGTTTAAAAAATATTGAACCACAGGATCACTAAAATGAGTTAATTCAATTTTTTTTTTTTTTTTTGATACGAGACAGACGTCGTCACACAATAAATGTTGCTGATCTGAGATCTGCTCCACGCYGGTTTTGGTTCTGTGCTGCTGGGTTCAATTCTGAACACGTACATGTGAGCRGGACCTGCCGGCTTCTCCTGTGATTTTATGAATGACCCGAAGGAGCTTAAAGCCAGACCGGTCTGTGTGGCAATTTTGCCCGTTGTATTTACCGTTGTATTTAAATTATAAGGTGTTTCCAGAAGTAATCTGTGGCAAACATCAGACTTGAAAAAAAGAACTAAGTAAAACTAAAATGACATAAACACAAAATGACTTGGGTAAAAATAAATTTCACTGATGAGAAAACTATTAAAGTATAAGTCATAAAACTGTTCACAAAAATTGGGAAAGTAAAAGTAAGAGTACTTTTACACACTCTCTAAGAAATAAACTGTTGAATTTACTGAAACAAACTGGCTCCACTAAGCCAGGTTGAGTAAAATGAGCGATATATGTAAATTCTTTGCTCAGTTTACTCAACTAATCTTAGTGGAGCCAGTTGACATGGTTTCAGTAAATTCAACACTTCATTTTTTAGAGTGCAGAAACATATTTCATGAGTTCAGACAGGTTTAATTTTCTAACAAGCAACTAGGTGTTACATTTTTTAAAGTAAAGAAGTAAAAATATCTTTAGC